AAATAAATTAAAAAAAAAAAAAAAAAAGAAGAAGAAGTATGATTAAAACCAAAAAGCATAAACAAACAAACCATGTAACCCAGAATAATGACTTCGGGGAAAAGCGCCAAAAAAATTGTATAAGCTTCTGGAGCGTGGCAAGAGAAGAGAACAGAGAGTCCTCACTGCTGAGGAGAGTGTGCAGCTGCAGTGGGACAGGGCCTGGGACTGCAGGGATGCCCTGGGCAAGCCAGGAAGGAGGAAGGTTTCACTTGGATTTAGCTGCCTAAGCATGTCTTCAGGCACCTGATTCTGGTAACTGCAAAGCCTCAGACCAGGTACACTCAGACCTCTGTTATAAAGGCCTAATTGCCCCTCTGCTCTGTCCTGGTGAGACCCCTCCTGGAGTCCTGTGTCAAGTTCTGGGGTCTCCAGCACAAGAAGGATGTGGAGCAAGTCCAGAGGAGGCCACAGAGATGCTCCAAGGTGCTCCTCTGCTCTGGAGCCGGGCTGGGAGAGCTGGGGGGGTTCACCTGGAGAAGAAAAGGCTTTAGGGAGACCTGAGAGCCCCTTGCAGGGCCTAAAGGGGCTCCAGGAGAGCTGGAGAGGGACTGGGGACAAGGGATGGAGGGACAGCACAAGGGGGAATGGCTTCCGACTGCCACAGGGCAGGGATGGATGGGATATTGGGCAGGAATTGTTGTCTGTGAGGCTTGGGAGGCCCTGGCACAGGTTGCCCAGAGAAGCTGTGGCTGCCCCTGGATCCCTGGAAGTGTCCAAGGCCAGGTTGGATGGGGCCTAGTGGAAGGTGTCCCTGCCCATGCCAAGGGGGTTGGACAGGATCCACCAGGATTGGTCCCCGAGGCTGCCCCAACCCCTGTGCAGGACCTCGCACTTGGCCTTGCTGAACTTGGGCCCACTTCCCGAGCATGTCCAGGTCCCTCTGGATGCCATCCGATCCCTCAGGCACGTCAGCTGCACTCAGCTCAGTGTCATCTGCAAATACAAACCCCTCTGAGCCATTCTTGTCCTACAGCTTCATCATTTTCGGCAGCGGCATGCAATATTCCGCAGGGGATGACAAACTGGGGGCACACAGGGTGGACAGCTCTACCCAGAGCCAAGCTGATGCTTTTCTGAAAAACAGGGAGCACGGAGGGATGCACCTCTTGCTCCCCTCCTGGCAGGGAAGCATTTTGGGGGGGTGTGTTTTGCACTTAGGGGTGTCCACCCTGAAGCAGCACCTTAGAACTAACGGGGTGCCACACGAAAACCGCGGTGAGGAGGACAGGGCGAGTGTGCAGCATTGAGACAGGGCCAGCAGAAAATGGGGCAGCACAGGCAGCCACACTCCTAAGATACTGACACTGCAGCAGAGAAGATAAATGACTGGCCCAAGGCCACACAGCGAGGCAGTGTCCCCTCTACGTGACTTTCAATCCCTGCTCCAGCACAGGATTGCTAAGGGATCCTTCAACAAAATGTTATATTGGCTTTGAAACCATGTGATTTATTTTTTAATGCACATACACACTCACACATAAACATACCCTTTTTTTTCCGGCTTCTTCCTTTCTCCTCCACCCAGATACACTCAGACACGTCTCTGAATAACCAGAAGAAGTGAAAACTTTCTATTTCCCCACTAAAGAAGAACTTGTAGGGGTTAACTTGACTCCAGGAGCTGGGGCTTCCCACGAAGAAGGATGCTGCCAACAGTCCCACCTGGCAAATCAGTGCCTGTATTTACAATTGCATGCCCTGAGATACTGCAAATATTTCCTAGAAGCTATAAACCCCATCCCAACAGTTGCAACGGGAGTGGGGATAAATTAGCTGAAGCCTGTCACTCGGTGAAGTCACGCTGGAGGAGATCCATCCAGGTAATCCATCTTTCTGCTGCGTTATACAATGACACAGTAATGGTCAGCCCAGAGGGATTTCTTTAGGAAAACTCAACTGTTACTAAAATGGTAAGTTAATATCGAGCAAGAACTCAGCCATCATTAGACGGAAGGACAGGCACGACAGGGAATAAAATATTACAGTCCCCATTCAAATATTTTTATTTACCAGAGCAGGAATAAATAGACCTATCTGCAGGCTGCAAAGAGAGGGGGCTGGGATTAAAAGAAAAGAAAAACAACAACAACAACAACAACAAAAACCCAACCACAATAAACCTGCACACATCGATTCCATCCTTGCCATTTTTCCTAATAAACAGCCCGGCACGGCTGTGTTGGTGGGCAGCTGGGGTGGAGGAAGGCACGCAGCCCAGCTCTCACAGGGACACGGGACACAAATCCGAGCTCAGGCTCTGCCCTTTTGTGTTGATTAAAAAAAAAAAAAAAAAATCTTAGAAGAAAGCAAGAAAAGTTATGTGGCTAATAAAGGGCTCTATTGTGCCATCAATTTTTTAAGCTTTAATGATTTCGGGAGGAAGTTCAGCTCAGCAATCAATAGCACAATACGGGCAGGAGGGCTGGGAGGAAATTCAGCACTGGAGCTGCGGGGAGTGCTGGTGGAAAGAGTGGGTCCAGAGGAGGGGGGTTCCCCTTGCTGAAGGCAGAGGGACCCCTGTCCTGCACAGATCCCCGTCCTATTCAGCTGGCACGGTGCGAGCTCCCCCTCCTGCCACACGGTGCGTGTGGCCAGGGGACAGCGGGGAAATTTGGGGATGCCAAGGCTGCTGCCGTGGGGAGGGAGGTGGCAAAGCGCCCACGCCAGCTGGGCTGCCCGCCCCACGCTCCCCACACCAGGGGTGAGCACATCCAGGGATGCCCACCCCACACCAGGCACATCCCAGGGATGTTAGCTGGCACATCCCAGGACTGATCATCCCACACTCCCCATACTGGGGGTAAGCACATCCAGAGGTGCTCACCCCACACCGGGCACATCCCAGGGATGATCACCCCACACTCCTTACACCCGGGATGAGCACATCCCACGAATGTTCACCCCACACTCCCCGAATCCAGGCTTAGAACATCCCTCAGATGCTCGCCCCTTGCTGAGCTCATCCCAGGGTTGCTTGCTTCCCGCTCCCCACACCCCAGGGCTGAGCACATCCCAGGGATGCAGGCACCACACCGGGCACATCCCAAGGATGGTCACCCCACACTCCCCACGCCCAAGGTGAGCACATCCCGGGGATGCTCACACACACACACACACACACACACACACACACTCCCCACGCTGGAGTTAATACCATCCCAGGGATGCTCGCCCCACACTCCCCACAACCCGGGCTGAGCCCATCCCAGGGATACTTCCACCAAGCCCACCAGCCCCTGAGCACCGAACCCCGCACACCCCCACCCTCCCCCGGGCAGCCCCGCTCCCCCCGCAGCAGGACACGTACCGCATCGCCCAGGCTCGCCACTGCCGCCGGGATGAGGGGGGCTATCCGCGGGATGATCCTGCGCCAGGCGAACCTAAGGGACACGGTGACACAGTGCGGAGCTCCTTCAGCACCAGCGGGGACAACGCCTCGCCCGAGGTGCCACCCCGACGCTGGGCAGGAGCCACAACCGCCTCCGAGTTCACAGGGGGCTCGGGCAGCGGCTGGAGAAAAACCGGGATAAAAACCCGCCAGGGAGGGCTCTCCAGCACCGGGGGCACCCCGAGCCGTCGGGTCGCTGCCCCGCTGCGAGGTGCAGGGGATGAGGGACGGGACGGGACGGGACGGGACGGGACGGGACGGGACGGGACGGGACGGGACGTGATGGGATCACCCCGCGCATCCCATCCCTCACTACAAGTAAAAGCCGATCCCTAAGTTGATCCCGCACGTCAGTGAGCGCTCCGCGGGGTCGCTTCAGCGGCACGGCGAGAGACCGCGGGCAGCGGGAACTCGGGCAAAAGTTTTGCCAAAATCCAAGGCAATACGATAAAAATTACTAATGTTAACTAATCGCCACAAAACAATAAAAAACAATAACAGTTTTTCAATTTAAAATAGTCATTATTACGATTAACTGGCGTGTAGAAAGAGGGGAATATCCGACCTGGAAGCCGGGAGCGCCCGGTGCTGCCTCTGCGCGATGCTGCCGCAGCTCGGGGAACACCGGGAGAACCGGGCACAGTCCGAGGGCACCGGGAGGGACGGAGGGAGGGACGGGAGGGGACGGAGCGGGGGGGACACCCCCCTGGTCCACCCCCGTCGGCGAAGGCAGCAGGCGGGGGACCCCACACCCCGCTCCCACTCGGGAATCCCGGCAGGGCCGAGCGGGAGGAAAAACTGAGCATTTCTTAAAATACTAAATAAAGAAGAAAAAAAAATAAAGTAAAATAAAACCAGAACTCACCGTCCAAAGCGAATCAGCAGCGAGGGAGCCGCGGGCGGTGCAGGGTGGGGGGGAGCATCGCCCCCGCCGTGGGACGGGACGGGACGGGACGGGGCAGGACAGGGCGGGGCGCGGCACCTCGGGGGGCTGGCGGCGGACACGGCACGGCGAGGGGCACGGCGGCACCGCCCGCCCCGTCCGGCCGCGCTGACCCGCGGCTGCCGTGCCGGCGGCTCGGCGGCGGTGCCAGCCAAGGGCCCGGATGTCGCTGGCCCCGCTCCCTCCCCGTGTCGCCGGGGGTGACACGGACCGGGCAGGGGGTCCGGGGGTCCCGCCCGCCCCGTCGGGGGCACCGGGCGCTGCCACGTGGGACGGCGGCGGGGGGGGGGGGGGAACACGCTCCCTCCGCCTCCCCCCCCATCACCCCCCCCCGCCGGGTTTGACAGGTCCACGCGACCAAACAAACCGCGGCGGACGGGCGGGCGGCGCGGCCAATGGGAGGGCACAGGAGGGGGGTTCCGGCCAATGGCGGCGCGGCAGGGGCGGGACCGCCTGAGGGAAGCGCGGAGGCGGCGCCGCCCCGGGGTCTCAGTGCCCCCCGCCGCCCTCAGGGGTGCGGGGGGTCGTGGGGCCGGCGGGAGCGCTGTGTGGTGTCAGAGAACCGCGGAATGGTTTGGGTTGGAAGGGACCTTCAAGATCATCTCGTTCCAACCCCCCCTGCTATGGGCAGGGACACCTTCCACTATACCCGAGGTTGCTCCAAGCTCCATCCAACCTGGCCCTGGACGCTTCACGGATCCAAGGGAAGCCACAGCTTCTCTGGGCAAGCTGGGCCGGGGCCTCACCACCCTCACAGCCAATGTCCCATCTAACCCTGCCCTCTGGCACTGGGAAGCCATTCCCTGTGTCCTGTCCCTCCATCCCTTGTCCCCAGTCCCTCTCCAGCTCTCCTGGAGCCCCTTTAGGCCCTGCAAGGGGCTCTCAGGTCTCCCTGGAGCCTTCTCTTCTCCAGGGGAACCCCCCCAGCTCTCCCAGCCTGGCTCCAGAGCAGAGGGGCTCCAGCCCTGGCAGCATCTCCGTGGCCTCCTCTGGGCTCTCTCCAGCAGCTCCCCATCCCTGTGCTGTTGTTCCCAGGGCTGGAGGCAGCTCTGCAGGGGGGTCTCACCTGAGGGGGCAGAGGGGCAGAATCCTCCCCTGTCCTGCTGCCCACGGTGTGGGATCAGCCCAGGGCATGGGGGTTTCTGGGCTGGGCCATGTCCAGACTCTTCTCCACCAGCACCCCCAGGATCCTCTCCCCAGGGCTCCTCCATCTGTCCATCCCCATCCTGGATTGATCCAGGGGCTGCCCCAGGAGCAGCACCAGAACTTGGTTTTGTTAAACCCTGGAGGTTCCCATAGGTCCACTTCTCGTGTCCTGGCCTATTTGATAATTCCAGACAAATAAACCCTTAGGTTTGGACAAAAAACCTGAAATATGGAACACGATGCTACTCCACTGTGAGAACCCTAGACTCCCCTCACAGGCAAGGGCATGGTGGGGTGGGGCGTGGCTGATGGCACTGCCATGGTCCCACAGGGATCCAGCAGCTCTGCATCCTCTTTGCATCACCTTCCTAATTTTCTCTCTCCGTCTGCGTTTTCCAGTGAGAAAAACAGCTTCCTTAGAGGATCAGTTTCCATGTTCCTGTGGATCACAGGCTTCGGATGCCAGCTGCCCTGTGTATTGTTACACCGATACCATCCCTGAAGCCAATTTGACAAAACCTGCAGATGGTCCCATAACCCTGCTCAGCCTCTGAAGGGTTGGGCTCTGAGGGAAAAAAAATATGATTTGCGGAGAAAATAGGCAAAGGGCACACCTAAATTCAGCTTACTCCATGAAATTTAGATAGCAAGAAGTCTCCTTTATAGGTTTAATCATCCGAAGGACATCAAATTTTTTGGCTGGTTTTGTTTTGTTTTGTTTTGTTTTGCCTTTTTTTTTTTTTTTTTTTTTTTTTTTTTTTTTTTTTTTTTTTTTCCCCCTTAGTCAGACCTAGCCAACAATCACAATTTGTTTTTATTTCATCTGGTTTCCTACCCTGTCATCAGGCTTCCGTGCTTTCCCACTGGGTCCCCGAGTGCAGTCAGCACGATGCTGAGTCATGGAAGAACATTGTCAGCTTCAGTTCTGAGCAGTTGAGGCTTCACCCTCAATATCAGCTATTCAGGGAGAGCCTTCCCATGTGCATTTAGAACGTCCCCAGCACATTTGCACTGTATTTTCTAGGATTTTCATCAAATGTTTTCAATGAAGCACCATTTCAGGATGTTCCTTTAGGGTTTGTTGTTCAGCAATCCATCTGTTTCAGGTGGAAGAGCCTGGCACAGCGATACAGCCTGGGATCTCTCATCTAATACCCAGTAAAACCGTTGCTAGCAGCTGACCCAGCCTGGGATCTGGCTCTGAGTGCCTTAATTGGTCAAAAATCTCCTGTTTTCGTTAAAATCCTTCACTAGTAGCATATTTCTAGATTTAAAGGGAAGGTTTAAACTAGGAAGGGTAGGAGCAGCTACTGTGAGTTTGCTGATGGAGGAATGTGTGTTCCTAACAAAAAATCGGAGACAGGATTTGGGATCTTTTTCATCCAGAGGAATGAAACACCTCTAAACTTTAGTTTGTTCTCTAGATCCAGAGTTAGCACCTGATTATTTTTAAAACAACAAGCTTGTGTAAAACACGCTGACAGGAACAACGTGATGCTACCTCCTGATCTTCCCTCTACCTCTTCTGCCTTCAAAAATCCCTTGAGGCGGATACAAGCACCCAAACCCACTGCAGCGAAAGGCATCTTGGAGAGAGTGAGTGACACAAGACTGAAGGGTGTTAAGGATTCTCTCATGCCTTTGTCTGGCAAACACTCACCAGCACAGCAGGCAAGAGGCTGTGAGGGATGGGAGCTTTGGACAAGGCTGTTGAGAGGCACGAAGTGATGCTTTGGATCTGCCTGTGGTCGTTTTCTCCCTCTGCCCAGCCACAGGCAAACCTGAGGTGGGACAAAGCCAAGGAAGACCTTGGTCTGAGATTGGAAATTGATAAAACAGGAATATAGCTTTTCCTGCTCCACTTTGCATTTAGTTGTCTCGGGGTCCTGAGTGCACCGATTGGTTTTAATTTCCCTGGCCAACCTCACCTCCACCCATGGACCCTCCACTCATTAATACAGGAGCTCTAATTAAACTCTTGGTGCTTCACCTGAGCTGTGTTTTAGGACAGTTGTAGTCCTGCCTGGAGTCCTGTGTCTTGGATCAGTGTCATACCTACACTGTAGACTTGTTTCCAGTCCTCCTCTTGCTGTTTCCAAGTGGAAAACTGGAACCACTTCATCCCCTCACCTTGACAGGGACACTTGGTAGTTCCTTTTCACCAGCAACTGGCCCTGCCAATCCTCTTCGGTGGGACTACATCCCTGCCTGTGCTGTGGTCATCCTGGGATCTTGGCTTGCTTTCCCGAGGCAGGATCACTGACTCTGAACGCACCACAGCACCTGGGACCCATGTTGTGAGAGCACCGTGCTCCTAGACCACATTCCCTTCTTAGCTCTCCGAGGCACACTTGACAGCTCTGGTGGCAGCTGGACTTGGTTTATAGGTTCAGGAAGATGTGAGCACCCCTGTCTTATTGCCATGTTTGTTCCACTGGTACCTATGGAGGTCTTTGGTCAACTCAAGTACTCTCAGACATTTCCCAACAGGTTTCTGGTGTGCCAAGTTTATTCCCTCCTGAGAACAGGAACTCGGCTCTGTTAGAGATGTCTCTAGTCTGGCACCTGCTTGTGATGGGATTGAGTGTAGAAATTGGCAGGAGAGGAAGGGAGCTGCCTCATCTTCATGCACATAATCAATAGCAAATCATTACTTAAAAAGTAAAGTGGTTTGATGGTGTTTCTGTAGGGCAAGACATGCCCTGCATTTTCAGTCTTTGATTCTCACTGCTTAACATGCCATGAGATGGAGCTTGGAGAGTGACTCACATTGTGAAAGCTCTCCAGTTAGCTCCTGGTGCTCCCTCTCAGCAAGTGTGTCATGGTTGTTTCAGCATGTCTGCGTCTGTTCTCCATCCCAGATCCACAAGCCTTCAAGGCTCTGTTAGGGAAATCCCTAAGCCCAGACACTGGAGGGGTGGCACCAAAGCATGCTTGGGATCTTGCCAGGATCAAGGAGCTCTCGCTCTGGATTAGGTCCAGCCTGCATGAGGCAGAGTGTGATACAGCTCTCAGTCCACCTGCAGACACCAGGCAGAAGCATGGAGGGCTCAAGGAGCTCGGGGAGCTCAGCCTGGAGAAAAGGAGGCTCGGGGGGACCTTCTCACTCTCTGCAATTCCCTGACAGGAGGGGAGAGCCAGGTGGGGGTTGGGCTTTGCTCCCAGGGAAGAAGTGACAGCAAAAGAGGAAACGGCCTCAAGCTGTGCCAGGGGAGGTTTAGGTTGGATATTAGGGAAAATTTCTTCATGGAAAGGTTTGCCCAGCCCTGGCATAGCTGCCCAGGGCTGCGGTGGATCCCCATCCCTGGAGGGATTTAAAAGCTATGTGGGTATGGCACTTGGGGACGTGGATTAGTGGTCAGCTTGGCAGTGCTGGGGGAAGGGTTGAACCTGATGGTCTTGGAGGTCATTTCCAACCTAAATGACTTTGTGATTCTCTGACAGGAAACCTGTGGCTCAGAGAGTACAGGCTGTGGCAATCCACTCCATTTTGCAGGAGAAAGGAACCTTGCTCCCAGTTTCCATCATGACTATGTGAGAGTCAGGCCATTCCCGTATGAAGGACATGCTGTACTAAAAAGTTTGTTCTCTGAATTAGCATCACCACATCCATTTCAGCTACACATCAATGCTTCTCAAGTGTCAGCTTTTCTACACACGAGCTGCCCTTCCATGTGCTCCTGCTCCAGTGTGGGATTCAGCCAAGGACTCCAATGGTCCTTCTCTTAGCACTGCAAGGTTGTTAGCTGTTCTCCAATAACCTGGTCATTCATTTTGATCTGGAGCTCCCTCTTCAACAAGTGACAAATCTTGATAGGACGCTTTATTTATACACTGA